TGCTGCGTTACCTGTGCAGTACATCAGGCATGGGGCTGGTGCTTGGAGGACGCGACAGAGTTGTCCTCACTGGTCACTCGGACGCCTCTTGGGTGGACGACCTGGCTACGCAGCGGTCGTCACAGGGTTACACCTTCAGCCTTGGCTCTGGTTCTGTCTCGTGGCGGTCCACCCGCTCTTCCTCTGTTCTCGGCTCTAGTTGTGAGGCTGAGATCTACGCCACAGCCATGGCTGCACAGGAGTTACGCTGGCTCACCTACCTGCTGACTGACTTGGGAGAGCGGCCTAGTTCTCCTCCAGTTCTGTACGGTGACAACAAGGCGGCTCTTGCCTTGTGTCAGGAGCACAGACTGGAGCACAGGACGAAGCACATTGCTCTTCGCTACTTTCTTGCTCGAGAGCTTCAGCAGCGCGGTCAGCTTCGGCTTGTGTACGTGGACTCGAAGGCCAACACTGCTGATATCTTCACCAAGGCGCTCCCGCCTAGTGATCATCAGCGGCACTGTACTTCTTTAGGCCTTGTGTCCACGTTTCCTCACTTGCTCACTGCTTGACATTCTTTGTACTGTACTTTATATATATCTTGGTGCTTGCTTGCTAGGTTTTGATCACTGTGTTGCTTGTTTTGTACTATATCTAGCACTGCATGTGAACTGGCCTTGTGGCCTTTACTTGTGCTCGGAGTGTGGTGACGTTGTGATCCACCCTGGGCTTTGCTTTGCTTTGCTGGACTGGTCTTGTGACCCTTTGCTCTCCCCCACTTTGCCTATGGGGGTGTGTTAAACTGTATTATGCTTGTAGGCTGTAGTGGGGTAGCCAATATGGGGTACAACCCCAACTAGGGTTTCATATTTGTACCCAAACTTCTGCTAGTTCAACCATTCTTGCCTAGTGATTCTGACACAAGAATCTGGCCGAAAAGGCTCTAGTAGGTGTGATTGAACATGGGCCACTCGAATATGCATTAACATTTGGGTTGTTGAATGCTTTTCCCTACGCCTATAGGGATTCATGCGCTTTCTGAGCATTTGGCGGCAAAAACAGCTGAAATCGTCGGCGCCGAACTTTTCTTTGCGCAAGAACCTGGCCAAAAAGGCTCTAGTAGGTGTGATTGAACATGGGCCACTCGAATATGCATTAACATTCAGGTTGTTGAATGCTTTTCTCTACGCCTATAGGGATTCATGCGCTTTCTAAGCATTTGGCAGCAAAAACAGCCGAAATCTTCAGCGCCGAACTTTTCTTTGCGCAAGAACCTGGCCGAAAAGGCTCTAGTAGGTGTGATTGAACATGGGCCACTCGAATATGCATTAACATTTGGGTTGTTGAATGCTTTTCCCTACGCCTATAGGGATTCATGCGCTTTCTAAACATTTGGAGGCAATAACAGCCGAAATCGTAAGCGCCGAACTTTTCTTTGCGCAAGAACCTGGCCGAAAGAGGCTCTACTAGGTGTGATTGAACATGGGTCATCCGAATATGCATGAACATACAGGTTTGTGAATGCTTTTCCCTATGCTTATAGTGATTCATGCGCTTTCTAAGCATTTGGCAGCAAAAGCAACCGAAATCGTCGGCGCCGAACTTTTCTTTGTCCAAGAACCTGGCCAAAAAGGCTCTAGTAGGGATGTTTTAACATAGGCCACTGAATATGCAATAACATCCAGGTTGTTGAATGCTTTTCCCTACGCATATAGGGATCCATGCGCTTTCTAAGCAATTGGCGTCAAAAACAGCAGAAATCGTCGGTGCCGAACTTTTCTTTGCGCAGAAACTAGGCAGAAAAGGCTCTTGTAGGTGTATGTGAACATGGGCCAATCGAATATGAATTAATATTGAGGTTGTTGAATGCTTTTCTCTACACCTATAGGAATTCATGTACTTTCTAAGAATTTCCTGGGCAAGATCGTTCGAAATCGTCGCCGCCGAACTTTTCTTTGTGCATGAACCTGGGCAAAACGTCTCTAGTAGGTTTGTTTAAACATGGGCCACTCGAATATGCATTAACATTCAGGAAATGTAAGGCTTTTCCTTACCCTTGTAGCGATTCATGCGCTTTCTAAGCATTTGGCGGCAAAAACAGCTGAAATCGTCGGCGCCGAACTTTTCTTTGCGCAAGAACCTGGCCAAAAAGGCTCTAGTAGGTCTATTTGATTATGGGCCACTAAAATAGGCATTGACATTCAGGTTCTTGAATGCTTTTCCCTACGCCTATAGGGATCGAAGTGCTTTCTAAGCCTTGGGCGACAAAAACAAAAGAAATTGTCAGCGCCGAACTTTCTTTGTGCAGAAAACATAGCCCAAAAGGCTCTAGTAGGTGTATTTGAACATGGGCCACTTGAATATGCAATAAAATTCAGGTTGTTGAATGCGTTTCCCCACGCCTTTAGGGATTCATGCGCTTTCTAAGCATTTGGCGGCAAAAACAGCCGAAATCGTAGGCGCCGAACTTTTCTTCGCGCAAGAACCAGGCCGAAAAGGCTCTAGTAGGTGTATTGAAATATGGGCCACTCGAATATGAATACACTTTCAGATTGTTGAATGCTTTTCCGTACACCTATACAGATTCATGCGCTTTCTAAGCATTTGGCGGCAAAAACACCCGAAATCGTCGGCGCCGAACTTTTCTTTGCGCAAGAACCTGGCCAAAAAGGATCTAATAGATGTATTTGAACATAGGCCACTCGAAAATGCATTGATATTTAGGTTGTTGAATGCTTTTCCCTACGCCTGTAGGGATTTACGCGCTTTTTAAGCATTTGTCTGCAAAAACATCCGAACTGGTCGGTGCCTAACTTTTCTTTGCACAGGAACCAGGCCAAAAAGGCTCTAGTAGGTGTATTTGAACATGAGACACTCGATTATGCTTTAACATTCATGTTGTTGAATGCTTTTCCTATAGGGATTTATGCGCTTTCTAAGCATTTCGCAGCAAAAAAAGAAGAAATAGAAGAAATGCCCAGTTCGCTAACCAGCTGGGCTAAAAGGGCATGTTTCATTTGTGGGTCAGCGCACCCATACCCTCCCAGGACGACACCTGTAGCCCTTGGAAAGACCATTTTGGGTCATTCCAGTGTCCATTTCTAACACTCCTCTAAAAGGGAGGGCCCACCACTAGGGCATAGGGAATCTGCCGACAGTAGGAATTAAACCCGGGTCTCTACCCTTCTTCTCCACCATGTCCAGTTCGCTAACCAACTGGGCTAAAAGGGCATGTAAACTTGGTGGGTCAGCGCACCCATACCCTCCCAGGACGACACCTGTAGCCCTTGGGAAGACAACTTCGGGCCATTCCAGTGTCCATTTCCAACACTCCCCTCACAGGGAGGGCCCACCGCTAGGGCACAGGAAATCTGCCGACAGCAGGAAGCCAACCCGGGCCATTTGAATATGCAATAATATTCAGGTTGTTGAATGCTTTTCCCTACGCCTATAGGGATTCATGCGCTTTCTAAGCATGTGTCGCAAAAACAACAGAAATTGTTGGCGCCGAACTTTTCTTTGCGCAAGAACCTGGCCGAAAAGGCTCTAGTAGGTGTATTTGAACATGGGCCACTCGAATATGCATTAAAATTCAGGTTGTTGAATGCTTTTCTCTACGCCTATAGAGATTTATGCGCTTTCTAAGCATTTGGCGGCAAAAACAGCCGAAATCGTCGACGCCGAACTTTTCTTTGCGCAAGAACCTGGCAGAAAAGGCTGTAGTAGGTGTAATTGAACATGGGTCATTCGAATATGCATTACTATTCAGGTTGTTGAAGGCTTCTCACCACGTCTGTAGGAATTCATGTGCTTTCTAAACATTTGGCGGCAAAAACAGAAGAAATTGTTGGCGTCGAACTTTTATTTGCGGAAGAACCAAGCCGAAAAGGCTCTAGTAGGTGTATTTGAAACATGGGAGCACTAGTTGCCCAACTGCTAAGACGAGTTTCCGGCGTAGAAGGTCGGTGTATCTGCAGGAAATGGTATTGGCTTTGCGAATTGCATGTGCAACTTTTTCGCGAGATTCTTGCAGTTCCGTCACAAATGTTTGTGATCGCGTGACCGGGTTCACTAGTGTAGTTTCTTGTAGGCACTGTCGGGTCCATCCCGTAATTCAAAAAGAACGGGGAGTGATTACTCGTACTCGATGGGGCGTTGTCGAACGCAAATTCCAGCATGGCGAGTGACTGTTCCCAACGAGCCGAGTCGGGGCAGTTGTACTGATCAGCTGCTCCATCGTCTGATTGGTGCGCTCGGTCTGGCCATCCTCTGTGGGTGGTTGGCCGATAAGAACTGTAGCTTTGTGCAGTACTGCGCCCTTGTCTCTTTCCAAAACTTTGACGTGAACTTTGGATCTCGGTCGCTGATGATCGCCGAGGGAATTTCGTGCAGTCGCAGGACCGAAGAGATGAAGAGGTGCATGGTATCTTCGGCTGTGATTGTTGTACGACACGGTGCGAAGTGCACCATTTTCGTGAGGTGGTCGATGACGACGAGAACGGCGTCATTGCCGGACGGTCCGGCTGGCAGCCCTGTGACGAAATCCATCGTTTCTTGTTGCCACAAGCGTTCGGGTGGCTCGAGTGGTTGCAGCAACCCGGCTGGCCGTTGGCGTGTCGATTTCATTGCTTGGCACACCCTGCATGAGGACACATATCGCTGCATGCAGTTAGAGGATTCAGGCCAACAATATTGACGGTGCAACAATTTCTGGTTTTTATCAACCCTGACATGTCCAGAGAATCTGGAATCGTGGACTTCTTGGATGAGGAGTTCACGCAGCAGCCGGTAAGCGGGAACCCATATCCGGTTAGTTCCGGCCTTTAGGTAGTAGTCCCCTTTCTGCGTCGTGGTCTGCTGATGATTTCCAGTCGTGAAGAATGGGTCCGTAGTGTAGCCGTGGGTGAATAGTCCAGTAAGTAACGGGTTTGAGTGGGTGATGAGTACTGCAGCGGATTGTACAGTCGGTCCGGTTAGGGCGTCGGCGATATTATTCGCCCTTTCTTGTACGTGATGCGCTATTTGAAGTGGCTCTCCATGTAATCCAGCCACCGAGTCTGTCGTGGATTGAGGTTGGGCTGGGCTCGCAGGTACTGTAGGGACTTGTGGTCCGTGCGAACAGTGACGTCGGCGCCCACCAGGTAACAGCGCCACAGTTTGAACGCGTGAATAATGGCGAGCATCTCCTTGTCGTGAATCGGGTAGTTGCGCTCGGCTGCCTGCAGTTTGCGTGATTCGTAGGCGATCGGTTGCAATCCATTCCCAAAATCTTGAAGGAGCACATCATCGATGGCGAAATCAGAGGCGTCGGTTACAACTTCGAACGGCTTTGGTGGGTCGACGATGCGCAGCACGTGAGGGGAAACGAGAAAATTCTTCAACTCCTGGAAAGTCGCCTCTGCTTCCCCCCCCCACACAAAATCCCTGTTCTTGTGCAGCAGGTCGGTCAGCGGGACGGTTATCCCCGCCATATTCGAGATGAACCGCCTGACGTGATTTACGAACCCCATGAAACTCTGTAGTTCCGTGACGTTCGTCGGGGACTTCCACTCTTGTATGGTCTTGATTTTCGCTGGGTCGATTCCAATGCCGTCGCGGGAGATTGTGGCCCAAAAACTCCAACTCCTGCTTAAAAAACTCGCACTTAGAGCCCTTGGTGATGAGTCGGTTCTCTTGCAACCGTGTCAAGGTCGTGGAGATGCTGCTTCTGTCTCCTGCTAAAAATGAGGATATCGTCCAAGTAGACGATGACACATAGGTCAAGAAGATCCCGAAAAACTCTGTTCATGGTCAACTGAAAAGTCAAAGGCGTGTTTGTGAGGCCGAAAGGCTTCACTGTGAATTCGTAACTCCCGTAGAGTGTGCAAAACGCAGTCTTGTGACAGTCATCGGCGAAGACTCGAAACTGGTGGTAACCGCCACATAAGTCAATCTTCGAAAAATAGCAGCCGCTGCGAAGTTGGTGGAGGAGGTCTTCGTTTCGTGGAATTGGATAGCGAGACTTTATGGTCACCTGGTTGAGCGCGCGATAGTCTGTGCACATGCGAAGCCAGCCGTCTTCTTCGGAGTGAACAGGATCGGTGCTGCGAAGGGAGAAGTGCTGGGTCGAATGAATCCTTTCTCCAACTGTGCATCAATTTGGCTTCGCAGCTCCTCGAGTTCCGGCTGGGTCAACCGCCACTGTGTCCGAACAATCGACTGCACGCCAGGTTCCAGCTGGATTTTGTGGTCTTCGGGTCTCTCGGGTGGCAGTCCAGGTGGCAGATCATCGCCCGGGAAAATGTCGGGGTACTGTCGAATCAGCTCTGCCAAATTCGGTGGTACAGCTGCACACAGCTTCTCGATATCCTTTCTGTCCATGTCAACTGCCAACTCGCGTAAGCAAATGGCGAACAGAGCTGCACGCCTCAGTTGAAGTGGCGGCTATAGTGATAGCTTTGACATACAAGGCTTGGATGTAGTCAGGTGTCCATGCAGGCAACTTAATTAGCCCCTCGTGCTTGCAGACACTGCACGATCCTATGGTCAAGTCGATGACGGGGTTGTGCCGTCACAGCCAATCACGTCCCAGCAGCAGATCGCTTCATCCAGCGTCGTCGCGAGAAACTTCATGCTGAAGCCGAAATCGTCGCCGCACTCAATCCGCACCGTCCGTGTTTCTTCCGTTATCGCCAGAGGCGTCCCATCCACGAGGCGAGCGTCGATTTCGGGCAGACACCTGTCAAGTTGCAGCTTGCATTTTTTTCTTGTCGCCAAGTTGAAGAGGTTATGGCTGGCCCCTCCGTCGACAAACTTTTTTTTAATATGCTTTAACACCTTGCTAGCGACCAGCATGGGGTGATCCACATGATTATCCCTCTTATTCGACCTAGTGTGGTCGATTCCATAAATCGGAACCACGACTTGGTGGGGATGGTGGGGTTCGGGCGACGGAGCACAGTCAGTAAAGGGCCCGCTTATTACCGACTCTTCCCATTTCCCTGCTCCTTCCTGTCGTTCCCCGTCAGCGGCGTTTTCTCGTGGCAGTCGCGCATGTAGTGACCCATCTTCCCACACTTATAACACGGTCCCTTAGGAGGGAGGTCAGGTGTATGGACGGCGTTGATAGTGGCAAGATGGGTCTGGCCACGAAAACGGTTTCCATCCCTGGAAGCTGTTCTCGCGTACTGCATCAGCGCATCTGTTGACTCCGCCAGCCGTACTGCTTCTAGGAATGATGTCGGGCGGCCACGACGCACCTCATACTGTATCTCATATTTGAGGGCGTTGATGTATTTATCCAACCGCTCTGCTTCCGACATGTCATCCACTTGGTCGGCGAGGCCCATAAATAACGACGCTGTGTAGTCTTGGACAGATGCCAACTGCGACCAGGTACGCAGCTTCATGCGAGCTTGCTCCGAGGCGGATACGTGCTCGAAGGGATCTCGCAAGGATGCGCCCCACTCCTTCCTCGTGCGTATCTTGGTCACACTCTGCCACTTGATTAGTCACAGTAGAGGTCCTGTGTTCCACATGCGTCACACCTGTCGGCATCCACATTTCCAAGGTTTGACGCCACCATTCAAGCGCTGCGCCTCGAAGAAGCGAAACTGCATAATTAATACGCGTGGCATCGTCGTTAACGCCTGCTGCAGTGAAGAAGACTTCAACACCGAACAGCCACCCCTTCACTGTGGTCATCTTGTCCGTGGGGTTGATGGGGCGTGTTGACGGGTTTAATCTTGATCATCGTTACTGCAATTGGCACTGGTGCCGCTCGCTGCCTATCTTCTTCTTCGAAGTCACGTGTGAGCGCATCCATCGGATTGCTCACCGCCTGACTGTTGCCCTCGCGTTCGTCAGCGGGCGACTCCTGACGCGCTTCACCTCGCGTCTGGCGTAGCTTGGCGTTTTCCTCTCGTAAAGTTGTTACTTCCGCCATTGATGACTCCATGCCCCTCTGCATCTCTGCCACTTGCGCCATCAGCGTGTTAATTGCCTCCTGATCTATGTGCTTAGCGCTACGTCTGGTGGGCAATCGGGTACCCGTGGCCTTCAGGCAAGTGAAAACACGAACTATCGGAGTCGGGCAGGATTGATTCAACAAACCTCGCGGCCAACCGTCGTGTAGTCACTATACTAGCCACACCCGTGCCACCAAACTACCCTCGGAAAGCGGGGTGAACTAGGAAAGTAGCTCTGATACCATGTGTTATGAGTTGTAAAAGAGAGTGCGCAGGTAAACGAATAACGAGACTGTGATTGAACGAACCGAAAATACAATGAATGCACAGACTAATGTAGGGCTAGCCTAGCTAGGAGGGAACCTCGGGAGGCGAGGTTGGGTGCATGTTTGGCGAAGTAAAAGCCGAAGGCGACGCGAAGAGCCTCGGCAGCGCTGATATCGGCCGAACGTACAGAGTCTGAAAATCGGGATTGTACGCGAAGCAGTTGACCCCGATAAGAGGTTTGGGAAAATTTCAAATTGTTCATCCTTTTAAAGCCCGAGCACTCAGCTTCGTCAAGTTTTAAAGCAGCGGTATACATTTGGCGCTACTGTTCAGTTTGTACAGTGATGGAACACCATTTCGCCCAGACGAAAAAAACCGGGGGGAGCGAGAGTGTTGGCGAAAACCAGATGCACTTGTGTTGTGAGGGAACCAGATTGGGGTTGGTTGTGAGTCACAGAATGGATAAAATGCCCTCGCCACCGAGCTCACCACTAACTCTCACACACCAAGTAAAATAAGCGCCAAATACCTACTCCAGAAAGAAACAACCACGGCGCGCGCTAGAAGGTGCTACGCCAGCAGCGCGACCAGACCACACACAAAGTGGCGCGTGAGTTCGGGACGAATTCAAATAGCCAAAAGGGCGAAACGTGTAGAAAAATCGCGCCCAGGAAGCAGCAGCCTTTCTAGTAACCGTGACGCACTCACCTCTAGCCTCGCACGCGCCCTAACATTCCGCCCGATCCAGCATAGCACGCTCCAGCATTTCACGCTCAGGATAGCAGCGCACGCAAGCAAAACGCGCGCCGCAAGGGCGCTCGTAATATTCATAGCGCGCGTGGGTACCAGTGACGAATCGTGTTCTCCGAGGGGACACACCGTCTTTGCGCATATAAGAAGAGGTGGGAGCTGCGTCACGTGCCCCCAAACGCATTCGTGCCGTCTCATACGCATTCCCCATTCCGCATTCCCCATTCCGCATTCCCCATTCCGCATTCCCCATTCCGCATTCCCCATTCCGCATTCCCCATTCCGCATTCCCCATTCCGCATTCCCCATTCCGCATTCCCCATTCCGCATTCCCCATCCCACATTCCCCATTCCGCATTCCCCATTCCGCATTCCCCATTCCGCATTCCCCATTCCGCATTCCCCGTTCCGCTCTCCCCCTTCCGTAGGCCCCCTTTCGCGCCGCCCCTTCCACGTTCCCCCTTCCGCGTTCCCATTTCCACATTCCCCCTTCCGCAACCCCCCTTTAGCGTTCCCCCTTCCGCCAACCCCCTTCCGCATTCCGCCGTCCGCCTTCCTCCTTCCGCGTTCCCCCTCTCGCGGTAACCCTTTTGCGTTCACCCTTCTGCATCCCCCCTTCTCCATCCCCCTTGCGCATCCCCCCTTCCGCATTCCCCCATCAGGCCCCATGCTCCCCCCCATCAGGCCCCATGCATCCCCCCATCAGGCCCCATGCTTCCCCCCATCAGGCCCCATGCTTCCCCCCATCAGGCCCCATGCTCCCCCCCATCAGGCCCCATGCATCCCCCCATCAGGCCCCATGCTTCCAGACACGAGGCCCCATGCTTCCCCCCATCAGGCCCCATGTTTCCCCCCCATCAGGCCCCATGCTTCCCCCCATCAGGCCCCATGTTTCCCCCCCATCAGGCCCCATGCTCCCCCTCATCAGGCCCCATGCATCCCCCCATCAGGCCCCATGCTTCCCCCCATCAGGCCCCATGCTTCCAGACACGAGGCCCCATGTTTCCCCCCATCAGGCCCCATGCATCCCCCCATCAGGCCCCATGCTTCCCCCCATCAGGCCCCATGCTCCCCCCCATCAGGCCCCATGCATCCCCCCATCAGGCCCCATGCTTCCAGACACGAGGCCCCATGCTTCCCCCCATCAGGCCCCATGTTTTCCCCCCATCAGGCCCCATGCTTCCCCCCATCAGGCCCCATGTTTCCCCCCCATCAGGCCCCATGCTCCCCCCCATCAGGCCCCATGCTTCCCCCCATCAGGCCCCATGCTTTCCCCCATCAGGCCCCATGCTTCCCCCCATCAGGCCCCATGCTTCCAGACACGAGGCCCCATGCTTCCCCCCATCAGGCCCCATGTTTCCCCCCCATCAGGCCCCATGCTCCCCCCCATCAGGCCCCATGTTTCCCCCCATCAGGCCCCATGCATCCCCCCATCAGGCCCCATGCTTCCAGACACGAGGCCCCATGCTTCCCCCCATCAGGCCCCATGTTTCCCCCCCATCAGGCCC